GGCTGTGAATTGAAAAATTCAAATTTTAAAGTTGACGGCAAAGGTAAAGAATTATTTGGTGACGGTTTTGCCTTATGGTACGTCAAGGAACGTATGAACCAGGGCCAGTTTTCGGTAGTAAAGATCATTTTTTTGGTCTAGTAGTTATATTATATATTAGACACTTATAGTAATCACAATGGACCTCATAATGTAAGTTTTTATACCTTCATAATTTCAGAGATTCTCTTCATTTTATATAGATTGTATTAATTCCTCACAACGTATGGAAACACTATACAGTCAAGAATATTGTCATCTTTTCTTTTAAATTTGATTTTCAGCACCAACATCCATATTTAAGTGCAATGGTTAACAACTCCACTTGAAGCTATGATCGCGACCGTAGTGGAACAAATACCCAATTAGCCGGTTGCGAAGTACGCTTTCTTAATTACAATTTTGACACGCACATCAGTATACGCTGCAAAAATAACATTTTATCTGTGTCGACCGATACGGAGAACCGTGACGAATGGAAGAACTGCTTTGTCGTTAATAATGTCGAATTACCTACGGGCTATTTCTTCGGGCTCTCGGCTACTATCGATGATTTATCGGACAATCATGATATATTTAGTTTTAAATTTTATGATCTAGAGTCAAATGTAACGGTATGTGGCAACTAAGTATCATTTTGCTCGTGAAATAAAATTTTTATAATTACAGCCCGAGATAATAATGGCTCGTGCAAATATTATACCTAACGCCAAAACATTGTAACGTCCGCGAACAGACTTAGGGTAGGGTGTCGTCGGTCCGTGTCAGCCAAAGACATTGCAGTAACGGCATTCCGTTATGCAAAAATCGCATGATTTTGCGGCACATTTCCTTTTTCCCAATAGTAGCGACTAGCCGCTATACAGCAACATAAAGAAGAAAAGGAAAAGAGAAAAATCATGCGAGGGGATAGTTTTAAGTTGAGTTTGGTTCTAGGAGTTGAAGTGAAAGCGTCAACGAGTGCGCTTGCTTTTCGATTGTCTTTTGATTGTGTGGCTGACCTCTGGCTGTTTTTTTCTTTTTTAAATAGGAGCTCAGACGGAAAGATGACCATTAGAAAAAAAATATCAAAGAAAAGAAATTCTTAACGTGCGGAAAAGATACATTCATAAAATCAGCAAAATTGTGATGTGTTATATATATCGAATAGTCAACTCAAATCTTTCAATTCAAATTTAAATGGTAAATTTACCGAAATCCATTTTTCTAAACCTAACGATACAAATAATAAGCTTACGAATTATTGAAACAAGACATGAGTTTTTTTAAACCGGTTGCAATAGCAAATTGATAATTAAATATCAAAAGACAAAAAAAACACACAAGGCAGTTTAAACTGTTCGTTAGCGTTTGTCTTAAAGATCGTGTTCGAGCGAAATCCAAGTATATGTTGTTATGCAGTGTGAACCAAACGAAAAAATTCTCCACTTTAAAGAAGAAAAAATGTCCTAAGTTGATATTGAGTGAGGTTTAACAGAAAAATTCATCCAAATTCTGGATCTGATAATAGTAATAAAAGCCGTGTACATGTCACATTTTGATAATCAATTCGATAATTTTTTTAATCTGAATATCAGAAAAAAAAGGAATATAAAAGAAAATTCTACTATAGCCATCTTGCTCATAGAACGAAGATGAAAAAATAAAGGGGAATAAAGAAAGAGTAATTGAAAAATTGCTCTTAACAAAAGCAAATTGTGAAAGAGAAAAAAAGAAATATAAATAAATAGATCTACTAATTCTCTTTGTCTTGCCGGCAAATTTAATTGGATCTGTGCAGGTTTTGTTAAATTACAATAGAACGTTGATAATTAAAACTCAAAAGTCAAGAAACCACATGAAGCAAATATATAAGAGAAAGCAGTACAAAGTCAGAATATTGTGTGTTTTTAATTCCTAAACGATAAAACTGCCTTCAAAAATAACGAAGCGAAGAGCTGAGTGTGTTGGTAGAATGTACCAAGCAAAGCGCATCGCATTCGTGTATGGATATATTTGTTTTAAATATCATTGACGGTATGCGTACGAAAACAGAGGAAAAGTAAAAATAAATGAAACAAAAATATAACTATGTAAATAACATAAAATTATGGAAATTTTGTACAAAGAAACATGAGCTTATTATTACGATAGTTTTGGCGAAATAATATACAATAAGAAGAAAATTGTTAATATCAAAATATTTAAAAAAAAAAAAAGAAAGAGAATTAGTATAAAGAGACATTAACATTAATATATGAGTGAAAATTGGCAGCCTACCGGCCTGCATCAGTTAAGTTAGAGAAATGTAAACATGAGGCGAGAAGTTTTTTGGATTATTTTGCTTTGATTTTTCTGAAATAAAAAAAAAGGTGATATTAAAGAGTATGTGTTGTGTATTTTCTTTACTCTGCCTTTATTGAGCAAATAATGCAATTATAATGAAAGAGAAGCAAAAAAAAAAAGGAAAAAAGGTTGGAGAAGTACTATTTAACGTGACGGAGGCTCGCCTTGCTTTTCTCGATTTCAATACATAAATTTTTTTCATATATCTAAAACCCATGCACACGAGTAATTATCAAACGCGTTTCAAACATTATATTTTATAAACAAGCTTAGAAGAAATCGAAAGCAACAAAAAGGAAAATAAAAACGGTGAAGAACATTTGAAGGCTGGGAAGTGTGTTTTTCTAACATCAGATAACTTCGTTTAAAAAAAATGGTAAACTTTCGCTCATATTAAAGGTGGAAAAGAACTCTGTTGGATTCACTTGATTGATGGAAGTGGCGATTTTTGTACGCATAGCTTCAAGATAAACGGTACCGACATGTGGCTTGCCATCGATGCGGTTTGAAAATCGGATAGACGCCACATCGCACCCACAGTGAACAGCAGGCATCGACAGTGACCACCGCAGAGGCCGTCAGCACTACCGAAGGGAGCACGACGTATGTAAGGCAGGTATTTACCCTTTTTTTTGTTTGTGTCTCGCGTTACCCGTGAGCCATAATGAGCGGCTAAGGCCGAACATGCCACGGCGGTAGCAGGAGTGCGACCAGGGGGGGTGCGCGCGTGGGGGAACCGTAGGGGGACATAGGACAGATACAGACGGACTCACTCTAGACGGACGAACGATAGCCTACCGACCTAAAACAATTTCTCTTTTGTGTTTTTTTCTCTTTCTTTGTCAGTGGCTCAGAAATCTAAGCCTCATAATATTAAATCGCTCTACCGACAAGCAGAGCTAGAACCGTGACAATATTTGAACCGCCTCGAGAACATAAGAATGATCCGAAGTCAAGTATGTCGAATGCGAAAATCTTTTTCATTCTATTGTTTGGCATGTTGATAGCGGTTGGAGTCGCCATTTTTGCAATTTTTTACTTCAAGGAAAAAATTCACGTAAACTTTTCTACTAGTTCAGCTCATATAACTCCAATGTAGAGAGATAAAGACATGACTTTCCTTTTCTTAGAAAAACAGTGTAAAGTAGCTATATTTTTTGAATATTTTCCGTTTTGCATTTTGCACCATAACTAAAAAAACACATACGATTTCCGGTTCTTACTCGCACATTGTTTTTTAATATTTTCTCTTCCCCCTTCTGGAGTATTGTGTATTTTTAGTCATTGTTTTATTCAATTTTTTATATATTACACATAATAAATTTTATGTCGGCCGAACTTTTCCATTTTTGTACAGGTGCTGCTGGGCCATCCGCAGAATACGCGCGCGAATTTCTATCCTTATAACATCTGTAGGTCATGAGTAATGAGAAAAAATTTGAGCCAGAAATTGTTTTTATTTTTGGCAATAGACGTAGCCTCAGATTATGTTTTACTGTGGCCGTGTCCTTCGGCCGATTGATTCCACTTTCAATATCAACCGGCGTACGAGATCTTACAATGTTTCAGCCGAATTTGAAGTCTTTTTTTTTGCGACCACAGGGATGTATACCACAGACAGTACACAGACAGAAGGACAAGCTAAATCGGTTTAGAAGGGATATGCCGTATTCGTGTAACAGATTGAAGGTCAAAGAGAAGTGAAGAAAGACCAGTGGTCGCGGTAACCTAGTTCCTCTGATCGGCAAGTGACCGAGCGGCATACTTATTTTGTCAAAACGTATGCAACGCCCAGAAGCGAGCCTCAGAGACTCCACAAAGTGTATATATTTTTGATCAGTGTCAAATTCTGAATCGATTTAAGCACATCTGTCTATCCCTCTGCGTAATTTCTAAATATTGTCCTAGACGCAAAAATGAAACTATCTGCTTCAAATTTCGCAGAAACATTGCGAGTTTTTGTACGCAGGTTGGTATTACATGTGGGCCAAATCACTCGAAGTACACTCCTACAGTACTGCTCTGGTTTTTCAAAAAAAATAAATAAGTGATTTTTTGCTCATTACTAATAAACTAGAGGAGATAAATATACAAAAATTTGAACGTTTATTCCATGGGCACTATCAGTCGGGATGCATTTTAACATGTCCGTCTATTCGTCTGCCCAACTGTTTGTGGTAAATGTTGTCCCGTTTGCAAAAATTAAAATATCGCATACAAATTCGCAAAAGAATTTGAAAACGGTCCGAACCAGTCAAAGGACGCGCCTACAACGCGATCATCTTTGCTTTCCACGTTTTTTGCTTGTTACTCGTAAAGTACATTACATATACTACATAAAGTTCCACTTTTATTGTGAAAACAAAAAAGAGCATTTATGTCCCCTTAAACGAATCCTGACTAGCTTTAGTAAATTTTTAGACACCTGGCATTCGATTTTCGCATATTTTTGAATATTTCCTGTTAATTCTTAGATATTTTCATACAAGTGGTTTTATATAATATATAATCTTATATATATAAGTGTATAAAAAAAGACCATTTATCGCCCTTTGAACGCATCCTGACTAGTTTTAGTAAATTTTTAGAGTCCTGGCGTTCGATTTTAGGAGGGCTTCCAGAAACCACTGTTTTTAATTTAATTTCTAAACGCACAGTCGTTTGATACAGTCCTGTTGATTCCTCAGAATCCATAGTAAATTGATTGGCCTCCTGTTGGGCGATATCATCTTCTTCATGGGCGTTCGATCAAGCTTATAATGCGCTTATTGTGCGTACTTTGCGTGCTGTTTACGCTGCTAACAGGCAAAAACATCACAGAGTCAATTGATTGGATTCTAAGGTAATTCAAATATTTTGCAAATATATTAATAAATTTCTTTTTTACTTTAGATTTAAAAGGTCCATCAATAGACTTACATTATGGGAAATCGGCTAAGAAAAACAGCCAAAGTAAAGGTAATTCAAATATAATATAAACACATTTATAAATTACTTATTTACGCACCCATTTTTTACTTTAGATTGAAACAGCGCCGCCGCCCACCGACGCATATAGATGAAGGTTCACTGTATGCCAAAGATAAGGGATGAATAAAGAAATTATCGACCAATGTTTGCTCAAATCTTAAAACATCCCGCACTAGTGTCGATTTATGATATTCATCCATAGTCGCTGGTACAGAATCCATTAAACATTTATCAACAATTAGCTTTAAAAGGCGATCCTTGATTTGGCCACCAATAATGCTAAAAACAAGTTCAGAAAGTACATTAACATTTATATTTGTCTAACAATCGAGCAACAACTTCCCTTTAAGACGGCTTTTAAATTTTCATTAACTCTTTAAGAAAATATGAAATATTAAGTTGCGAATATTCTTCATTATCATTCAAAAATTCAGCTGAAACTTTCACTACCATTGGCATAAGACAATTTTCCAAAAGAAAATCCCATATTTTCAAGGGATTATAACGGGCCCAATCAAAATGGGTATCGCTGCTCACATTGCTTAATAAGTGTTCGGTATCGCGCAATAAATGTTCTCCGTCCTCAATGTACCTGTTCAAACGAGAAATCGAAGTCAATATTTTGTTAAAACAAGAAATACATACGTACATATCCGAGGTAGTATGATTTGGCATAAAATCGATATAATTATCTTCAATATGTTTATGTTTCCGTTCTGAAAATCTGCAGATTACTTCTATTACAAAAAAAAAGAACGAATTTACTTGCTTTTAAAATTTTATTATGTTTTATTATATTTTATAATGTAATAATTTTATTATATTTTATAATGTTTGTTATTCAACGACCCTGATCGGCGTCGACGTTTCGGCGGCGATGCCGCAGCCAATCGGCGTCCGAGCGACTTTCTTTTTTAATTTCTTGTTTTGCTAAATATGTAAACTTTTGACTAATTTTTAACTTAAAAAAAATATATTAACAACTTACCTGCTTTATTTGCGATATGTTTCGAAATTGAAATATATCGAAATTTCAGCACTCGTTTCCAGCGCTGTAAAAAAAAAGTAGGAGATATATCGACCAGAGTTATATATCGTTCCATATCAAATTATTTATTTATATATTTATTTATTTACATTATATAAACGAAAGGCTTCCAATAATATTAAGGTAGTATTTTGACATCCAATCTCTCTGTTGTCCGGCAATATGAACATTAAATGTCCTATCTCCGATTGAGTTGAAAGAGCTAAAAAAATTTTGAAGTAAAAAAACATTCTTCGCTTTACAAGGAATCTTGATAACATCCTTGAGCGTAGTTTGTAATAAGTAGTCCATCTTAATTTTACATCGATGTGAACATGCAGTTTACAGAAAGAAAGCTCTATAAAACAGTTCACAGTGTTGAAAAAAATAAATAAATAAAAGGCGGAACTTACAATTTTAGTTTATAGAATTTAGTATGTAGTTATTATTATTGTCAATTTTAAATTTTCATGTAAGTTCTTTTTATAATTTATGAACTGTTACTACTTTAAAATGTAAAAAAGTGAAACTTTTTTGATGAATAAATTGAAATAAGAGAAAAAGTTCGCCGTTTTTATTTGCTTTTTTATTGCTTTAAGGTTTAAGCTAATTAGAAGTGTTGCGGATGTATGCAATAACGAGAAAGACTAAACAGTTCACAGTTTAAAAAAAAAATAAAAGGCGGAGCAGACAACTTTTAGTCTATAAGATTTAGTATGCAATTCTGATCTAAAATATTTTAAAATAATAATTTCAAAAATTGTAGAAAATGTAAAAATATTCATTCAATAAATTACAATTACAAATGATTGATCACCGTTTTATTATTTATATAATTTTTATATGTCAATGAGATATAGCTTATATCTCCACATTAACCAAATTTTATATAATTCCTGTAGTTACATCCGATTCAATTTAAATATGTCCGCCACTTTCAATGAGAAATTCCACCATGTCCTAAGTCATCAACTGCGGGACTATTCCAAATTGTGGCATCACAGGCGGGAGCCGAGTAAAGATGAGTACCAGAAACTGACCACAAAATTAAGCGAGGTGCTGCACCGTCCTGTGTCCGAGGAAAAAGTGCGAACCGTTGTGAAAAATGTCAGGCGGCATCTGCAACGGCCCGAAAAACGGCTGTCTCGGAAGACACAAGAACTTAGATATATGCGAGCCGCGGAGGTGATTTCCAAAATAACTGAGGAGAAGCAATTCTTCAAAGAAGAGGTCACGGCGAATGCAGTTGGTTCCGAAAAGTTCTTAGAGGAGTACTTGGAAATAGTAGAGGAGGATTATGCCGGCCCGTCGACTTCTGCGCCGGCGGCGCAAATAAGAGAAAACCGGTAGCTCCGCGCTGAGCCCCTTTTCCGGCAAACACCGCCGAACACGGAAGGAGATTGCGGAGCAGAAGTATTTCGTGATGTCCTCACTATACAAAATAGAATAGTATAGGTTCAATTTGACGAAGTTTTCACAAACTCGAAGAAGATATATTCGCGAAAGAAGGACGTGCTGCGAGGATGCGGCTACTGCAACGAGGACACCACGGAGACCGAGCCGCACCAACAACTCCTCGCGCGGAGTCTTTTGACCTCATTCAACATCCTGCTGAATGTCTACTCCCGCACATCTTATATGGGCTGATTAGACGAGCTACTTGACGGGAACCTGCTGAAGATATGGGGTTGTATGTCAAGACTCTCGTCTGCGACCAATCCCCCGTTAACAAACAAATACTCGGAGGAAAATTCGCCAGCAGCGCAACAGAAATCGGGCAGATGGCGGCACCCACTTAATACGCCTATTGTATGAATACCCCCATTCAGAAGAAGCGGTACTAAATAAATAAAGGAAGAAAAAGAAAAGCAACTTTAATCTAAAACTGGTTAAGAAGATGGCGATAATGAAAGCGCGCAGCTCACCATTGTGGGAGCAGACTGAATCTATGCCGTCGTATCGATCGCCATGGGTGTTGCTCTCCATTATTATTCACAAATTCCTGAATAATACACAGGTCGCGACTTTCCAGGCGGCTATAAAGGGTAAGGCGATCAACAACTGCGACGGCAAGGCGCAATGAACATGTGACCTAATCTTGGCGCTGACTGAGTTCACCAACGTCCTGCACCGGAGTTCCATTAACATCAGGACGTGGATACAGCTCAAATCTAAACTCCACCGTCTTCGATATTATTTGAAGAAAAATTTATTCTCAGACGCTCAAGCGATCGACATGAGTTTAACTACAAAGAATTTCATGCGCGTAGTAGAGGACTTCCTGCGAGCTTACTCTGATAACCATCGTGCCCTACAGGGTAAGCCAGGATATCTTGGAGGGACTCTTCTTTAACAGGGCACTCGGCTTCAGAATGAGGACCCGGTCGTCACCAGATATAGTGGAGCTGGTAGATCGACTGAGGTAGTTTCAGTTGTCGAGTTGGTGTGGCGACTCCAGCCCTGAAAATGATTACTTCCTCATCGACGAAGTAAGCTACAAACTCGCAGTGAAAACTGAAGAGCAGTTTGTAGCTTACGACCTTGATGGGGAAGTATTCCCCGATTTGTTCTCCAATAAGATGTCGCACATCGAAGAAGAACACCGGCGGCTGATTACCGGGTACACATTAGCGCGTTACATCGGCGAGGAGCTAGAATGCAAAGTCTACAAGATCTGACGCGTAAAGAAGAAAAATTTTATAAAAAGGACAGCGATGGTATAGTTGCGTTGAACAATGAAGACAATCTAACTCTGTTCTCGCAATGTATTAAGTCTGCATGCGCAACGCCAGAGGTGCACAAGGCATTCAATAGCACCTACAGAATATTTTACGCCGCTAAGCACCAACATATGGTGGTACCGAACATCGGCAACTGCGTGCAGGCGACCATCGTGGCACGGCTTGCCTTTTTCCAGACAGCGGAATCGTGCAGCAGCGGCCTGTTGCACCGAACTAATTGACTTGATTTCGTCATATTTATGCTGCTGTCTGGGAAAAACTTTAGGGAGGAACAGGATATGAATGTCATGTCCTTCTAAAGAGTAGAGTCCTGCGCGCGTCAGCACCTCCGTGCGTCAGCTCCTTACGATGATTTGGACATATTCAAAGCAAGCAAGCTTTGAGAAAAAAAAGAAAAAGCAAAATCAATAAGAAAACTTGAAATTTCTAGACGCTTTATAAAAGCAACAAGTCTGCCACCGTATTCGGAATTTGGAGTATTCATAGTATTATTTTCCGCCAGTGTCATTTTGAAATATTCCGGGAAATATTTAAAACAATAAAAAGCACAACGATGCTATACTTCAAGGTCAAGAATAATTGTAAAATTCTTTTTAATTCTTTTTTGAGATGACTTAACTCTTGTTGCTGTTGTTAGACAACTAAAGTTGTTTTTAAGTCTTGGAAGAAGAGAAAATGAACAGAGCCGTCAGCAAGATTACCGATAATATGCCTATGCATATTATCAGCAGTTATTGTTATTAATAATTTCAAAGTGAACGGATACACATCAACAAAACACACGACAATGCCCAAACATACGTATTTACTGCACTATTGCATAACAAACAATATGCCGGAAATTCTTTTGTTAGATCGTGACTCACACCTGAATGGTTTATTTGTTCGTAATCGCGATGTTTTTGTTTTCTAAAAGGAAAAAAACTATTTATTTGTGATTATTATACATATTTATGGTGTACTGACATCTTTTGGCCCAAGAAGAAACACTGCCGAAAATGGTACAGATATGTATAATTGCAGGGTTGTACGAAGTCGAAGCCGCTAAACAGGAAATATGAAAACGAAACATTTATGTTTTATAAGAAAAGTTGCAAAATTATATATTTTTTTAAACTTCATTAAAAATTTTACACAGCAGGATGAAACGAGTGCCATAGAAACATAAACAAAATAAAAATGTTGCGGGGAGAATTTTGCTGAGTTTCGTTTCATAGAACGATTTCTACCGTTACCGGTATTATTAAACTTTCGGCTCAATCTTGGTCCTTTATTATTTGTTTAAGATGAAGTTAATACTATTAACAGCTGGCAACGAAAAACAGAATCAAAAAGTGGCTTCATGATGACTAGCATTTGATTCTAGCCGACTTACCACATGAGCTGCAGGAATTTGACTAATTTTCTTCAATTAATCGATAATATTGAAAGCAATGCACTATTATCTGAATCAAAATTTTTGGGTGATTTCACATGCTGTTTATAGCGACCTGCTTGCTTTTAAACGTTTTTGCCAGGTTTGAAAGCGATATCTTGATTTTTGAGACCAGTCCGCATGGACAGACTGAAAAACAGACATTTCCAGATCGACTTTGTTTTTGATATTGAAAAATATGCATTCTTTATATGGTTTCTGAAGCCTTCTCTATGTTGCAGACGCTTTCATGAACGAATGATATTTCGATACTTTATAATATAGTGCCGCCGTGGCCAATTGTTGCCATTTTTCTGCTGGTAAAGAGGAAAAGCACATTTTTTTCTCACTTTACGTTGATTTAATCAATTTTTAATACTATACCATGGATGCAAGAATTTCTGACATTTGTGGCAACTTTAGAGACGATATCTTCATTTTTGCAATCAGGAGAATGTTTACCGTAGAATAAACTTAATATATTTGCGTACCATAAATGGTGTAAGGTACAAAGAAACCAAAAACCCACTTAAAACATATTTAGGAAGTTACTTCG